GGCTGCCAATGCTCATAATAAATATAACACACTATTTTGTGCCCTAGTTTTCAGGTGGTAATGAGGCATTGTAGCATGTTTTTCCACTATGGGGAATTGCAGGCTTAGTGATTGATATCTAGGTTTCTTTTCCTAAATAACTGTGGGTCTTAGGTTGTTTCTGAGATTTCTTTGTGTGCAAGAAAATAATGAAAACCAGTGGAATATGAAGTAGGGTTTTTTTTTTTTTTTTGCACAAAATTGTTCTTGTATGAGTTGCAGGTTGCCAAAAAAGGTTCCTGCTTCCCACAAATGTCCTAAATTTCAGGATAGTTTCTTTTGTTTTTATTAAGATTCTCAAAGTTAGCATGTTCCAAACTGATCTCTTCCCAGAGATTTGTTCCATTCACGGTCTTCCCCCTCTCTGTTAGTGGGAACTTCCATCCTTCAGGATAAAAATCTTGAGATTAACCTTGACTTCTTTTTCTCTCATATTCCATACCTAATTTGTCAGGAAATTCTGTGGGTTCAACCTTCAACATACAACCAAACCAAAACCAAACCCACTGCCATTGACTCAGTTCTGACTCATATGGACTCCTGTTGGGTTTCCAAGGCTATACATCTTTCTGGAAGTAGATTGCCCCATCTTCCTTCTGCAGAGTTTGAACTGCTAACCTTCTATTTAGCAATCAAATGCCTTAGGCACTGCAATCACCAGAGCTCCTTTCAAAATATATCCAGAACTTGAAAACTTTTTACCACCCACTGCTGTCAAGTCAATTACAACTCCTAGTGAGCTCTGGTAGCATAGTGGCTAAAGCACTTGACTGCTAACCAGAAGGCTGGCGATTCAAACCCACCAGCCATTCCTTGGAAGGAAGGTTGGGCAATCCTACTTCCGCAGTGATAACTGCCTCGGAAACCCAAGGAGGGGTCGCTATGAGTCAGGGCCGACTTGACGGCACATAACAACAACAACAAAAACAAGTGAGCCTCATTGGGTTTCCAAGGCTTTATGGAAGTAGATTGCCTCATCTTCCTCCTATGGAACAGTTGGTGGGTTTGAACCACTGACCTTCTGGTTAGCAGACAAATGTCTTACTCTCTATGCCACCAGAGCTCCTTTTACCATTTCCACTGTTATTTACCTTGCCCAAGCCATTTCATCTGTTGCCTTAAACTGAAAGCTGAAATGGCTTCCAACAGGTTTCCGTTAATCTTCAATCTGTTTTCCATAATAGCTAGGGTAATCCCATTAAAATGTAAATTAGATCACAGTACCCCTCTGTTCAAAACCTTTCCATGATTTCCCATTTTGCTCAGAGTAAAACCCAAAGTCATTAAAATGGCCCACAAGACCCCAAGTTATTTGGCCCCTCAGCTCCGACTACTCTCATCTTCATCTAGTTAGCTCCAGCTAGACAGTTCTCAAATATACTTGGAAAGTACCTACCTCAGGGCTTTAGCATTGGCTGTTCCCTCTGCCTAGAAATCTCTCAGATATTCATACAGTCCATTCTTTCATTTCCTTTGAGTCTGTGTTCACACAGTGAAGCCTACCTTGACCACCCTATTTAAAATGTACCCCTCACCTGTATATCCTATTCCCTTCCCTCTTGTATTTTTTCCCATAACTATTTTTGGCAGTATACATAATTTTAAATTATTAATATACTTGCTGTTGCTGCTGTTGTTTGCCATTGAGTCAGACCTGACTCATAGCGACCCCTCCTTGGGTTTCCGAGGTGGTATCACTACAGAAGTAGATTGCCCCATCTTCCTTCCGAGGAGTGGCTGGTGGGTTTGAACCTCCAGCCTTCTGGTTAGCAGTCAAATGCCTTGGCACTATGCTACCAGAGCTCCCATTAATATACTTAGTTATTGGTTTTATTGTTCATTAAATTTTTTTGTTGTTGTTCATTCATGTATCCCAGTGCTTAGAAGAATATCCAGCCCCTGGCAGATATTCAATAAATACTGAATGAAAGAAAGGATGAATTCCCATTACTTAATTTAAGATAATTCTCTTAAAAGATAATTTAAAAAAAAACTTAAAGTTTTTTAAAAAAAGATTTTTGGAAAACTTTTCATTCTAACTGAATCACTTATAGTTTAATATTCCCTGTTGTCACATGGAATTTGATGGGAGATTCTGGTAAGGGACATATATGTTAGACTGAGGAATAATTATCCATCCTTCAACCTAGATAAACCCAGGTGTTTTATTCCACTTTAGGATCCCTGGTGGTGCAATGGTTAAGAGCTCTGCTAACTGAAAGGTCAGTGGTTTGAACCCAGCTGCTGGTCTGAGGGAAAAAGGTATGGAGGTCTGCGTCTGTAAAGATTGTTTTTGTTAGATGTTGTCAAGAAGGCCAGCCACTCCTTGGAAGAAAGGTTGGGCAATCTACTTCTGTAGTGATACCACCTCGGAAACCCAAGGAGGGGTCGCTATGAGTTGGATCCGACTCCACGACAGTGAGTTTGGTTTTTGGTTTTGTCAAGTAGGTTCCAACTCATAGTGACCCTATGTATAACAGAACAAAACGTCTGGTCCTGTGCCATCCTCATAATGGTTGCTATGTTTCAGTCCATTGTTGCAGCCAATGTCAATCCATCCCATTGAGAGTCTTCCTCTTTTTCACTGTACCTCTACTTTACCAATCAATCCATATCCAGGAACTGGTCCCTCCTCGTAATTTGTCCAAAGTACATGAGATGAAGTTTTGTCATCCTAGTGTCTAAAGAGCATTCTGGCTGTACTTCTTCCAAGCAGATTTGTTTGTTCTCCAGGCAATACATGGTATATTTAATGTTCTTCTTTGTCAACACCATAATTCAAAAGCATCAACTCTTCTTTAGTCTTCCTTCTTCATTGTTCAGCTTTCTCACGCATATGAGATGACTGCAAATACCACAGCTTGGGTCAGGTGTACCTTAGTCCTCCAGGTGACATCCTTGCTTTTCAACACTTCAACTCTTTTGTAGTAAATATGCCCAATGCAATATGTTGTTTAATTTCTTGACTGTTGCTTCCATGGTAACAGCTCTGGTGGTGTAATGGTCAAGGCATTCAGCTGCTAACCAAGGTCAGCAATTCGAACCCACCAGCTGCTTGGTGGGAGAGAGATGAGGCAGTCTGCTTCCATAAAGATTTACAGCCTTAGAGACCTCTGGGGACAGTTCTACTCTCCCAGCAGGGTTGCTGAGTCAGAATTGATTCAATGACAATGAGTTTGGTTTGGCTGGCTTCTAAGGGTGTTCGTTATGTATCCAAGTAAAATTAAATTCTTGATAATTTCAATCTTTTCTTCCCTTATCATGATGCTGCTTATTGATCCAGTTGTGAGGAGTTTTGCTTTCATTATGTTGAGGTATAATCCACACTGAAGGCTAGTCTTTGGTTTTCATCAGTAAGTGCTTCAAATCCTCTTTACTTTTAGTAAGCGAGGTTGTATCATCTGCATATCGTAGGTTTTTAATGAGTCTTCCTCCAATCCTGATGCTGCATTCTTCTTCATATAGTCCACAGATTAGATAAAGTATGGTGAAAGGATACAACCCTGACACACACCTCTCTTGATTTTAAACCATGCAATATTCCCTTGTTCTGTTCTAATGACAGCCTCTATGTACAGGTACCACATATGTACAATAAAGTGTTCTAGAATTCCTACTCTTTAAAATGTTATCCATAATTTTCTATGATCTACACAGTCAAATGTCTTTGCATAAAGGAAAACACAGGTAAAGATTTCAGCCTTGGAAACCCTATATGGAAAAAAAAAAAAAAAAAAAAGGAGCTCTGGTGGCATAGTGCCATGGGGCAGTTCTATTCCCTTATAGGGTGTCAGACTTGATGGCAATGGATTAGTCTATTTAACTTCTTACAATCATATACGGAGAAAAGTGATCTTGGAGAGCTTGCATGAGTAAATTAGAATTAAAGCTTCATGGAGTTAGTATTCCTGTACTTTGTCTCCCTGGAAGGTGGAAGAAGTGCTCAGCTGTGCGACTCTTTCCAAGACACTGTGTGGGAATCGCTTCAATTTTCCTAGGCCTCATTTCCTTCTCTACTAAAGGTTGACAGTATTCACCCCTCTCCAGAATCAGAAACTGTTCTTAAGGTGTTACAGGACACCCTTCAAAGGCAAAGTCCAGAATATTCTTGAGCAGCTGAAATAAAGCTCCTCAGAATGCTGCTTTACTTTTTTTAAAAAAAAATTATAGAAAGTAACACCTGAGCTTTAAATTAGAATTTAGGCAATAGCAAATGAGACCAAAAGTTAACAACTGGAGACATCTTTCACCCGAGGAACCTCGGAATGTGTTGAGGGCTGAAACAACACAATCTCCATTTTGTTGGGACGGGGCAGGTCCTCGGGGCCTCCTGGAAGTTCGGTGGTTTAAATGGCGCAGCCAGGTCCTCCCTTGAGTATCCAGCTGCTCTCTCAGCCCCAGTTCAGCCACGCTGCCCAGGGGAAGAACCCAGTCCAGGCGCTGAATCTTGATTCCGAAGGCATTTAAACCCCCTAACATAATACGAAATTGTACAGGTGACCGCGGCAGCTCTTATGTTCACTACACGTCTTTCTTTATTCTCTATCCTCACAATTCCCCGCTCCGCCAGGAGGCGCGCGCTTGCTTCACCCGGCCGCGCGCCCCCGACTGCACTTTCATCGAAAGGTAAAGAAAGAAAAGGTCTCCGGGACGCCTCGTTCCCAGGCACGCGCCCGCTGCCCTCGCCCCTCGCGGGCCCGCGCGGGTGCGCGCGCAGGACTCCCCTTCTCGAGACCTCCCCTCCCCCAAGCCGGTCTTGCGCTCCGCGGGCGGGGCGCAGCGCGTGGGGGGCGGAGCCGGAGCGGGCTAGGCGGGGGCCAGGCCCCGGGATTAGTTGGTTTCGCTGCGGACGAGGAAGCCAGAGTCGTTGCCAGCGCGGAGAAGACAAAGCCGCGTTTAGGGGCCCAAGGGTGGTAAGCGCGGGGTTCGTGGCACCCCAGCTAACGGGGAGGGCTCTGCGGACCCGCGCGCAGCCCAGACACCCGCCGCCGTTGCCGCCTTGCAACAGGTCCGCGGCTTCCAGCGGCCTCGCTCGCCTCACCCCTCCCCCGCGACCCCCGGGTCGCCTCTGGTCAGCTCGGGGCTGCGTCTGGCCACCCGTTCCGATGCGGTTCGGGTCCCAAAGGATGCCGGTAAGCGGTTGCGTGTATGTGCAGGGGTTGGGACGTCGGGGCCGGAAGTGTTCGGGATCTGGGGCGGGAGTCTGGTACGCGATCTCGTGCGAGTTCCAAGCAGGGTCAGGGTCGGGGGGCCTAGGCCAGCGCCGTTGGAGCCGGGCATCTGAGGCTCATCAGGTCAAGGGAAGCGGCCGCAGCTTTCGGGAGGGGACTAAGCTCCATCCTCCCGGCTCCCCAGGCGATCGATCCCCTGCGGAGGAAAGCGGGATATCCTTGCTGAGAGGAGAGGTCCCAAGGCACTGCTCAGGAGTTGGTCGAGAAACCGCCGGTGGGCAGACACGCAAACTTTTCATGTCTAGCTGTGCCTGACTTTTTGCAGTTTTGGAGGTCAAGAATGGAGGAACCAGAAGACTTTTTCTTCGTTTCGTCCTCTGTTTAAAAAAAAAACCCAGCATTTTCAGTGGAGTGAAATACACGTACTGAAAAGTGTACCGGTGCTTTCTTTATTTTAAATTGATTTTCTGTTTTGGTATTTGAAGTATCAGCCACGTTACAAGTTACTTTCTTTCTGGAAATTGGTTTTAGTAAATGCAACTTTTTCAAAAGTTTTAGATTGTAGTAAAGGATGTGTGCAGTGATTCTCTGACTTTTGGAAAGGATTAGTGAGTTTTTTAAGAGCTCCACAGGCTTTTGGCATGGCCTTCAGGCCACTGGTGGTCCTAGTGCAGGATTAGGGAAGGAAAAATTACAATTTTCGAAATGTCTTTTCTTCAAAGATCACAGAATCTGGAGGGTTGCAGTAGATTTTTGAAGACTTTTAATAATGTATTTCCTCATGAAAGTTGTACTTGCTCTCTGCTAAAGTTGACTTGTTTTGCAGTCATGCAGTGTTTTCATTTATTAGAACTTTTTATGAAATCTGTGTAACAGAGTGATGACAAATTTGTTTATTTGAAGTCACAGATGCATGGGAGGTCTTCCTAAATTTCCACATACTGGACAATGTGATATATTAGAATTGAGTTCTGGTGGTGTAGTCCCTCAGGCATTTGACTGCTAACGAGAAGGCTGGCGGTTCAAACCCACCAGCCACTCCTCAGAAGGAAGATTGGGCAATCTACTTCCGCAGTGATACCGCCTCGGAAACCTAAGGTGGTGGTGGTTGTTATGTGCCATCGAGTCGGATCCGACTCAGAGACCCCTCCTTGGGTTTCTGAGGCGGTATCACTACGGAAGTAGATTGCCCAACCTTCCTTCCGAGGAGTGGCTGGTGGGTTTGAAGCGCTAGCCTTCTGGTTAGCAGTCAAATGCTTTAGGCACTATACTACCAGAGCTCCGGAAACCTAAGGAGGGGTCGCTATGAGTCGGATCCAACTCGATGGCAGTGGATTTGGTTTGGTTTTTCAAATGGATTTAGATGGTTTTGGATATTTTGTCCTAGCAGGATTCAAGGAATTTGAAAGTGTTAATAGCATCATGCATTGTTTCTTAGTTTAATACTTGGATATGAACCCAAGTTTGTGACATGAATGCCTTAATATTAACATGTGTACCATGCATGAGTATCAGGAGGGATCTTGTTAATATTTTCATTCCTTTAATTTATATTTCCTTTTCTTGGAATAACTTTAGTAGGTTGTCTGCTAATTTCTCCTACAATAAGGAGGAAGAGAGCAGGTGCTCGTTGTTGTAATCGGTTTTATTTCATAGTATCCTTTGGGCTTTCTTAAAACTTACGAAAGTTTTCCTTCTCCCAGCTATTATCAGATCATCAGAATTTATGAGAAGTTACGTAGCTTTAAATTTAATTTAGCACCATGGTTCTTCTGATTGCCTTTCTGATATCAGAGTAGAATATCAATACAGATTCAAGATGTGAAGTCAGACTGATGCTTCAGTATTTGCTCAGCTTCTTCTACCTTTGTCAACACAGGCTTATCATTATTATTTTTTTTTCCTTTTATTTAATGACTTGTCCCTCAGTTTAATCATCTTTAAAATGGAAGTGATAATAGTACCTATCTCTTAGGGTGGTTTTGAGGATTAGAATTACTGTTTATGGAGCAGGTCATACTGTGCCTAGCTTGAACTAACTGCTAGAAAGGGCTTTCCTACAAAATTTGCAATGTTAGTTAAACTGGAGGTTCCTTTGCTTGACATTCAGTCATTAAAAATAATGAAACTATTTTTCTTTTAGCAACTTTGCATTATATGTTTTTTTTTTTCCTATGCTATTTTGGGTGTTTGAAAATAAAACGATTTTCTTGAATACATTTCTCACCTTTAGCTTTTAACGTGCTTGGATTTTTATTCCAACATAAGTGATGTCTTGTACTTTATTACTTCAAAACATTCTCACTTATTTATTGGGAAAAGAATTGTGCTTAATAATGCCTTAGAATGTAGACAATTGCTTTGATTTGCTTTTTAAAGACACTCTAAAGATAATAGTTTGCTATTTAGACTGCCTTATATTAAAAATGTTCAAATAAATTGTGTTCATATATTTTCCCACCAAATGGTAGAAAATCAAGTGACTTTTTTTCTTTTTTTCCCCCATGTGGGATGTGAAGTGATAATTGGACCCAAATCTAGAAGTGGAAGATGCATTTTATTTAGTAGGCTAACTAAAAATAAGTAGACAAGTGCTGAGAATCACCACAATAGAGAGGTAATGATAGGTTACTGCAGAAATGGTTGTGATAATTACACTCATTTTCAGATACCTGACATGGTTAGTATTCTGGTTCTATGCTATTTCTACAAGTGGGTGAGGTGGAACTGATTAATATTTCATACTTGACATCTTTTTGTTTCTTCATTAAAGAAGAGATCATTTGCAGTTTGAGAGTGTAGCTTTTAATGAACCCTCTCATTGTCTTTGATTATCAAATAAAGGGAAGTCATTATTAAAAGCAAAAATTCTCAGCCAGATAGCGTTTATTCATTGCTTTCATTTTGGGAAGTGTTATGTTAAAAAAAAAATAAAATAGAAAGTATGTTAGGAAAGAGCTTAGCAGACTCTCAAAGCATTTACTGTTCTTTCCAGATAGAGTTTTATAAAAATTTATACCTACTACTGAAATAGTAAAACAAAACAAAAAAACCTACACACAAAACATACACAGTATTTTGCAGTGATGCATGAAAGGCCCAAGGCCCACTGCCATTGAGTCGATTCTAACTCATAGTGACCCTATAAAACAGAGTACAACTGCCCGCATAGAGTTTCCAAGGCTATAAATCTTTATGGAAGTACACTGCTACATTTGTGTATTGAAATGCAAAGCTCTTTAAATTATGCACGTGGAACTTGGATTTATATGATCATTAGTTACCAGATTCTGACTCATGGTGACCACGTGTGTGCCAGAATAGAACTGAGCTCTATAGAGTTTTCATTGGCTGAATTTTCTGGAGTAGATCGCCAGGACTTTTCTTCTGAGGCACCTCTGGGTAGATTCCAACCTTCAACCTTTCTGTTTGCAGCTGCCTGAGGCAACTGTTTGCACAACCCAGACAGAGACTTTTAGGATTATATCACATGCTGAAAGAATTCTCATTTGCTGTTTGAGTAGTAATGTGTCAAGTTAGCTTAGATCAGTTTTTATTCCAGAATAAAGTTTTGTTGTTGTTGTTGTTGTTGTTATGTGCCGTCGAGTCGGCCCCGACTCATAGCGACCCCTCCTTGGGTTTCCGAGGCAGTATCACTACGGAAGTAGGATTGCCCAACCTTCCTTCCGAGGAGTGGCTGGTGGGTTAGGATAGGTTTTATAAATACCTTTATTGTAATTCTCAGAGGCTATTAAGCAAATCACCTATTTTTAAAAATGTGCAAAATGTCTCACATTTCTTGTGCTGTAGTTAGTTTTGTTGCCTTGTGACTTCTCTTAATTAGTTAAAAGCTGAAAGGCATTTACAATTTTCTGTGTTTTTCACCTGTTCCAGAAAACCAGGTTTTGACTTTTTAAAGAAACTTAGCAAAAGTATACAACTGCTTACATTTAAAAAGTTAAAGGGAGTTTACTTGTCTGGAAGGGACATAGAGAAGGGTCATTTATTCATACATGCTTCTAGGGAGGAACTGCTTTCCCGCCCTATTCACATCTTTTCCCCATCAACAAACAGTAAAAACAAAACAAAACCTTTCTTTTCTAGGGAGCTTTTAAGGAACACTGTGGGCCTCTCCAAAAAAAAATTACTATAATTTTTTAAATCTCTTCTGGTAAACTATCATAGTGTGTGGCACTCCTTAAAGTTTATCTTAGGTGAATTTCAAACAGGTATTTTTGAACCTCAGGTGGTGTTATTTAGACTCTCAGAAATAAGGTAACTCCATAGTAGTTCACGGTGGTGTGGTTTGTTATCATGTATTATAAAACTTGCATGTTAAAAAGTATCAATTCTTGAAGAATAGGGAGGATAAGCTATAAGAATTTAGGAATCCAGAGTGTTCTTTTCTGCTCATGCCACTTATATCAAATGTTGTTGAAATGCTTGTTTTTGATGGTGGTGCTAGGTAGTGAGCAGAACATTTTTCTTTTATCAGATGTTTTGAGAAAAGAAAACATACATGACGTGACTGGGTTTGAAAAGTATACTTATATTGGAGTGGCAGGTGAGACATTAAAATTCTTACCTTCTTGGAGAGAGCCAAGGAAAATTTTGAGTCATTAGGATAATATTTAGGGACAGCTAACTAAGTATTAAAGAGGCAGTGATTCTTAAAATACTTTGCATACTGTTCTATCAAAAGAGAATTGTCTTATCAAAGAAATGTAAATTGTGAACGTTATTTTACAGTAAGCATTCATTGATTATGGGCATTTTTATTTTATTTTTTTATTGTGATTTGGGTGAAGATTTACAGAGCAAGTTCACTTTCCATACAGCAGTTCACATATACTTTGTCTCATGTCATTGACCACAGTTTACCACAATGCAACAGCTCCCCTTCCACTTCCTCCCCAT